CTGTACATGCCAAAAGGCAATGCTCTCAAGAACTTCTACCCATTAACCTCAGTGAGGTCGTTTCGTCATCTCAAGGCTTACCAGCATTGCTCTGATTTGGGGGTACTGCCACGACGAGTTCGCGACCCAACTAAGATCTACCCTGGTTGAACAACCCGGGTATGGATGAGGAGGGTGGGAGCTCCAAGCCCCCACCCGTCTCCTTACCGCGCCCACTTATCGCTATCGACTTGTCACAGAGAAACAGGACAACCGAATAGGAGTTTAAAGTTCTCCAGAGCTCTTATATTAAATTCAATTCAATGAAGTCTTATTAGGTCGTCGGGCCTGTTATTCCTACTAACCACGCAAATTTCGCTACGCTCTTTCATCGTGTAGCGGAAAAAGTAGGTATCACTCCGGCGACGAATCTGATGATTTTAATTGAGATCAGAGTCTTCTTTGAGGCATGACGATCTTTCACATGTAATGTGTAATCTGTAAATCTATAACACGGGACAACCGGCTTTACTTCTCCGAAGGAAGGCGAACGAAGGATTTTTTGCCCTTATAAATCCACGGCTTCGATCGGGTTTGAACCCGCAAACTTGTAAACCACTGCCCGATCCGCGATTAGTTGTACCGCAGAAGCCGCGTGTGCGACAAGATCCCTCCCTCTCCCGCGGGGATAGTTTCGGATTGGAGAAAATTTATTCTTGGTCTCGTGCCCGAGAATGGGGCGCTTCTCGTGTGCGGGGGCTGCCGGCAGGCGCATGAAGCCGCTCTCTGGCCGCTCCGCTCCTTGATTCGCCCGCGAAGGAGGGCGTTCGTCTTCCGCATCCACACGGAACCCGGTCGACAACCTCCCTTCCCCACTCTGCGACGTTCTCTCCAGCCGTGGCTCTAATTTGGCTGGGAGGAGCACGATGCTGGTGCGTGACATACGCCATTCAGATATTTCCTCCGAAAATGTGCCGAAATGATGAGGCGGAGAAAGTGATAAAAAATTGCGTTAGTTGCGATTGTATAAATTTTAAAGGTTATACTTCATTGACATTTTGTGGAACCACATTTAAAGATAACTATTCCGCTAAGATGTGTTAGCATTTTTTGTTAAGTATAGATATTCCAAAGTAAAACTGAAGTAGAACTTCCAAGTCTTCTATTTTCATTACCCTGAAGTAAATTGGATAATTTTTCTCGGGCACCGTTTCTTTCCATTTAATGATAGCCATTTAATTCGTTTCTTGGCAGTATAGGATCACAATTTTAAGATCAATTCCTAAGTTAATAGAATCTGAAATATGGAATGAATCTTTGCGTATAAAGCTTTGTGTATTAAACCATTTTACGAAAACAACCAAACCTGAAGTCCATCAAATTCGTGGGGGAATCGTGATAACAGTAGTACTTTAAATTAAATGATTCCTCTTTATATTTACTGAACATTCACCTCAAACCCATAAAAGGTGTAGTTGGGATCTCTTATTCTTTTTTTGCTCCTCATTCGGGATAGTTGATATTAATAGGCATTGTTAAACCGACGCAGAGAAAATGTACTTATTAAACGTGTTTATGTTCAGTAATACAGTGTGTAATATTGGAACGGCAAACGTGCATTTAGACGGAAATCACGTTAGGTTATGCAGTACGACCAAAGCCTTGGGGCACGGGACACGATGGCTCCACCACAATACATCGTCTACCTTCGCTGCTCTCCGCGCTTCCTCGTCGTCCGGGGCCCTGCCGTGGTGGAGAGCGGGGCCAACGCGCGCCGCCCCTGACAATGGCGACGGCGGCGGCGTTACGAAACGCGACGGGGTCCTCTCCCTTCGGCCCCTCATCCCCACCACCGCCCCCTGCTCCCGCCTCGCCCCGCCCTAATTACAGGTGTCGCGCGGACGGCGTTCGCACAAAAGCTCGGCGCCCGCCTCCCCCTGTCGCTCGTGCCGCCGGGCCGCAGTCTTCTCTCTTGCTCGCTTCGCCCCCCTCCCCCGGGCCGCCTGGGCACTGCAGTGCTAAATGCATAAACCAGGGCTTCGTTTGAAGAAAATGGTTGGTTTACCGTAACATATAAGAGTTGTTGAACTGCAGATTTGAGCGAAACATATTTTTCGTGAGGATACCTACAAATAAAATAATTTTTAATCTTGTAAATTTTCATTATCTCGGAAATATTTCAAATTCATTTTTATTACACAAAAGCCGTGTTGTATTTATGCGTTGTGATGCTGCAAATCTATTTAAATAAAAAATAATCTTTTTTTTGTACTCAAAGAAATAGTGGGAGAAACAGCAACATCGACAACGGGAAACTCGCTTCAAGAAAACGTATCACTTTGCGACAACTGTATTAATGATATTGTCTTCCATCGTGCAAAACGAATGATCCTTGTAATTATCACAATGAATTGAATTCCATAATTTAAGCATGTTATATTTAAAAAACTTAACAAAACAAATTAATGTAAAAATGCGTTATTGTATAGTGATAAGTTTTATGTAAAACGAATTACTGGCATTACGAATTTTGCCTCGTCTTTTGTATAAGCTCGATTATTTTATATTGGTCAGCATTTGATTCGTGCATTATTTCAACACAATTGAGCTGCACAAACATTATATCTCTCCCGCACCCTAGTTTAAATCCGTTTCGAAATAAAATTTGGAATATCCGTCCATTGTATGTAGATTTTAACACAAAACATTACATTTAATGAATCATTTTCACCTTTTCTAGTTTAATATTTCATATGTATTAGAAACATATACAAACATTAAACCATTTAAGAAAAATAATATTATGAGCTGAAGAAGGGTGCAAAGGACAGAGAAGAATGAAGGTTGCTTAATTCTGTGGAAGAAAAAAATGCACAATGATGATAAATGAAGAAACTGTAAGATGTCAAAGACAGTGATATCATTATTGTTCTCCTGAATTGAAGCGACGTAATTTTCTCGTGAGCCAGCCAGTGGAAGTATTCCCATTTAATGAACGACTTTCTTGTAACATTGGAGCTTGTTTTTTGTGCTACCTTTGTTGTCCAAGTTCATGCCAACAATTTTGCCTTGGTTCTTGCTTCGGTTTTTGCCGCTGGAGGCAGCTTCCTCTGTTGCTAGTCCTCGTACGTTCCCGGACTCACATGAGCGAACATATGTACGTATAAACCTTCCAAAACATTCCCCCCTTCCTTGGTTCTTGCCTCTAGCCCTTCTACACACGTCCCTATCGTAATCCCTTGTTCCCGCTTCATCCCGCTTTGCGCCGCCCCGCAACACCCCGCCCCCCGTCGCTCCGCCCCCGCTACGGCTCCTATCACCACGCATCGCGCTGCGCCACAACAGCCTTTACTCAGCCCTACAGGGCTCCGCTCAGCTGCTCCC